TTAGGGTTGCATCTTTTTACCATACTTATTCAATCTGTATGCTAACCAAATAATCTGAGAACCTGGACTATAGAAGAGCAACGAGGCATCAGGATTGGAGGAAACTCATTAACAATCTGTGATACACAGAGGACACAACCTTGCTTGCTGAAAGTGAAGAGGACTTGAAGCACTTACTCATGAAGATCAAAGAATACAGTCTTCAGCATGGATTACGCCTAAACATAAAAGAAGCAAAAATCCTCACAACTGGACCAATTAGCAACATCATGAAAAATGGAGAAATGACTGAAGTCACAGATTTCATTTTACTTGGATCTACAATCAACATTCATGGAAGCAGCAGTCAAGGAATCAGACATCATATTGCACTGGGCAAATCTGCTGCCAAACACCTTTTTAAAGTGGTGAAGAGCAAAGATGTCTCTTTGAAGACTAAGGTGTGCCTAACCCCCTGTGGTGTTTTCAATCATCTCATATACATGTGAAAGCTGGACAATGAATAAGGAAGACTGAAGAGGTAATAACGCCTTTGAAGTGTGGTGTTGGCAGAAAATACCATGGACTGCCAGAAGAATGAACAAATCTGTCCTGGAAGTAGTGCAGCTAAAATTCTGCTTATGAGCAAGAATGGCCAGACTTTGTTTCACCTAATTTGGTCTTGTTGTCAGAAGGCACCAGTCCCTGGAAAAGGACATCATGCTTGGTAAAGTAGAGGTTCAACGAAAAAAACCCTTTCAACGAGACTGATTGACACAGTGGCTGCAATGATGGACTCAAGCCTAGCAAAGACTATGAGGATGGCACAGGATCAGGCAGTGTTTTATTCTGTTGAACAAAGGGTAACTAAGAGTCAGAGCTGACTTGATGGCACGAAACAACAACAACTATGTTTTAAGGCTTTGCTAGGAACCACGAATTCAACACAAATCATGATCACACCACCAAGTTATGGTCACCTACATGTACTAAATATAACAACTTTAGAAAAACAAAACAAGCTGATGGATTAGTATAAGTCATATGGTAATTTATAAAACATTTTTTAAAAATTTACTCTGTCCTGTGTGTATAATAAAATACACCATAATTTGTACTTTAACAAACAAATTTTATTCCACACATACCAAAGTATGTGTGATATATAACTCCAGGTTTTTTCAAAATAGAAACCTTCCAAAAAAACTGATCTTTACAATAAAGAGCTGTGTATCATCACCATCAAAAGTACCTAGCATATTTTTTTAAACAAATACCATTAAACGGATTGGGTTCTCCTGTCTTAAGAAATTCCAAATCAAATGTGGACAGTAATAATAATGTCTATGTACACAGTTGGGGAGGGTTTCTTCTTTATTCCTTCTCCATCCAGCAGAGTAATATCATTTTTTCTTGTCCAGTCCTCCTATCTGCACTTCTGTTCTGTTACTCCCAGGTCACTCTTTGCACTGCAACATGGAAGAAGCTTTGTACACATTAGAACCTTCTCTCTCATCCTACAGTAATTAGTATCCATTTAATAAAAGACAAACTTAAGTTTCAGGTTTGGCTCTGTCTTTTCATTTGGGAAGATCTTGAATCTTAGTTTCTTCATATATTAATAAAAAATATATATTAGGTTATTTTTGATGTTCTTTATAGAATGAAGATTCTGTTCTACAAAATGTCGAATTTAAAAATCTTTTGTATTATTTGTTGTTGTTATTGTTGTTATGTGCCGTCGAGTCAGCCCTGACTCATAGCGACGCCTCCTTGGGTTTCTGAGGCATTATCACTATGGAAGTAGGATTGCCCAACCTTCCTTCCGAGGAGTGGCTGGTGGGTTTGAACCACCAGCCTTCTGGTTAGCAGTCAATTGCACTACCCCAGCAGAGCTCCCTATTTAGAGTAGTCTCTACTTTAACTTCTTTTAGTACTCACTATTCTTCCTGCTGTATCCTGATTTTATCATTCTGTGAATCTTTTACCTTATTTTGGGCTCTTTATTTGCTGATTTCTTTGTCAGTTGCAATATACATTCAAAATACTTCATTTTTAAAAAGCTTCATGAGTAATGTATTTTCAGACGTCTTGATACCCAAGATTGTCTTTCACTTGTCATCACACATAAAAAATGATTTAACCAAGTATAAAATTTTGGAACTAAAACATTTTCCAATCACAACTCTGTTGGCATTCTTTCATTTTTATTATGAAGTTAAATGTTATGATAGAAAAGTCTGAGGACAGCTTAATTTTTATTCCTTTCTAGTTAAGTTACTTCATCAACATGGATACTTGACAATAGTTTTTCCTATGTTAACATAGTTTAAAAATTAATGTCCCTTTTGGCAAATTTATTTCATAGAATCTTAGTCCCGTGTAAGATTCTATGAATCTATGACTCTATGAAATAACTTTGCCCCAGCCAAACACCTTGAGGGAGTGAGTTAGTGGGCCCCCGAGGTCTTGGGACCCTGGTTGCAGGGAACATCAAGCTCAATGGGCAGAATGTGGTACACAAAAATGTTGTTCTACATCCTACTTTGGTGAGTAGCA